AGATTAACGATATGACTAGTATCCTTGATGGTTGCGTTTACTAAATATCGACAAACTGTTCAAAATATTTTTCATTTATTTCGCACACAAATTTTGATGACCAATTCAACAAATAAACTTTTCAGTGGATGGCGACGTATGCGGATCAATTATTGGAAACATTTGTGAGGCGTATGGAGTAAGTAAGAAATCGTTTAGTGGCAAGGAAGTCATCTGAAAACACTTTCTTGCTTGGAAAAAATGAATTTTTTTTGGTTAATTTTTGAAGTTTTCTGAATTAGTTGCAAACTTGTGGGAAGTTTTTTTGGAACATATCATAAAAATAGCAATTTTCATGTTGCATTTTTTTCACTGCGATTCAATGTTCAATATTAATATTGGCTTAATTTCAGTCCATCACAAAAATATTGTAAATATGCTCTGAACACAGTACATTCATTGGTGGAAATGGTCGATCGTTCGAAATATGGAAAACGCTTGAAAGAAGAGGTTCGTGACATTGCAAATGAGCTCTTTAGACTAGAAGAGAATAGTTCGAACGGATTCAACTTATGAGGGGTTTGAAAATGACTCTGCAGTTAGAAGAATCGAAATTTGTCATCAAAAATTGGTTTCTGAATTGTTTTTCGAATGTTCTGCGGAAGAGACTTATGATGGAAATGAGCATTATTCAATGATTCTTCGAGTGTACACAAGTACCGATGACCACATACTAATGTATATTCAAATATTTTGATCTTCAGCAGAAAAAATGTAAAGTTTTAGATAATAAACCGAGGAATTGGTGTGCTGAAAGAAATGGAATTGTATGGCGATCGTTATTTCATCAAAACATCGAAATCGAAGCAATATGTCTTTGATTTGTTGAGGCGTGTTTATAATGGCGATGACCAATTGAGGGTGTGCACTTCATTCTCTTCTCTTTGTTTGAATTGCTCATGATTATCAAATTAAGATAATTAATCATTCAATTATTATGTACGAGTATGCATTTGAAAACGGAAGTACATTTTGAATTATGAACAAATAAATTACGGAATGCTAAAAGAGACAGACTGCACTGATGAGTGATTAAATCTTCCAGATATAAAAATGTCTCTAATTATGGAACTTTCAGAACGTATTCGAGTCAAATGATGGAATTCGATTACTGCTGGAGTTGTTGAAAAGAGAGGTGAATGAAATGGTAGTGTATAGGATAATGAGGGCACTTTATGCAGTCGTTTGCTCGCAGGATAGTTCTAAATTCGGTGAACGATTCGCAAATCTCGGCGGTGTTCAGGTTTGTTTTCTTTTTTGAAAATGTAATCAGAGATGTTGAAGAATCTCATTTTCTTCGAAAAATTAATAAGTTTCACAAATTTGTTCACCCATTTCGAAAATGCTCTGCAATTTCGACCCTAAATGCGTGTTTACTTTCAAAAGTCTGATTTGAGTTATTGAGACGTTTCAATCAGTATGTATGTATTCTCGCAGCGTCGTGTAACGCATGATCAAAAAATTTTTTTTCAGACAGTCTCTCATATATTGTCAAATCAGCACTGTTCTGAACGAGTCGCATTGGAGAGTATTTACTGCTTACGAGTGGTCAGCGATTTGGAAGTGGTTCGAAATATGGACAATAAAGAGGCGATTTTCAAGATTCTTGGCAAAATTGAACATTATCGAATGAATGCAACGTTCATTAATGTTGCGGTGGATTTTCTTGGTAATGTCGCAGCCAATAAAGATGGATCTGCGAATATGAATAAGGTAATCCTTTGCACTGTGACTCTATAAATTCAGTTTTATTTATGTGTGCTGATGCGATTGATGGTGGAATTCACGTAAGGATGGCGTGATCTTACGAAATAAGCTGAAATCGTATGAGTATTCCCAGTATTGGTCGTGACCAAATTCAAATGCACTGTTTGTTTCATAATATCAACTGTGAAGTTTGGTTTATGAGGTTCCAATTTCACTAGAAATAGGCACGTTTGATATAGCTGTGAAAAAACAACTCACAATATAGCGTAGATTAGGGGATGTTGCCCAAATCTTAAAATTAGATCACAGTTTTTGCTTAAGATGAAATTGAATCCTGCGTGATACAGGAGCTTGAAGGAAAGCTCGAATTAAATCTTGAAAGTGCATAGGATGAGGCACTTCTCGCATCCATCAGATTAACATGGGATTATCAATTATTGAATAAAGTAAGACATCGATAAGGTTTGTGCCGAACGTAATTCGTTTTGAAGGATTTTATCGTCGAATGCAGTGCGATTGAACGACTGCTGGCGACGTTGATAAATTTCGAGCCGAAGCGCGAGGAGGGCGGCGTTAAGAGTTTAATATCTTCGATTATATGGGCAATACATATATTTACCACTGGTTGTTCGACTCCTGAGAAGACAGTCAACGCCAGGAAACGGGTGAGTTCATTGAACACTTTTTGAATCGTGCATTTTGGCTTGTTATCCTGATGGGTTTTCATCTTTTCAATTTGAACTACAATCGGAATATATGAACGCAACTGGATGATTTTTTACGCCAAGCATGTTTGAAATGCTGATGTTGTTGAACTTTTAATATGTTCACGTTAATAAGCATTATTNTGTTACAATTATGCCTAACGAAACATTTCGTGATAATGAAGAGTGGAAACGGACATGATTCATGGAATATCTCACCAAGATTACTATTTTTTAGCTGATCTATTCGGACAAAGCACCAGATGTTCTTCTTTATGAAGTGGCGAATCCGGTTGATTTGAGCAGTCGACTATACACACTAAATGTAATTTCATTGAAATACATCATTTTCATTTTATTAGATTTGCAAAGCCATTTCACGTGTGTTATTAGTAATTGTAACCATTTACAAACCAAAATTCTCGTTCCTTTTCAGATCGATTAATGTATTATTGACTCACATTTTCACGAAATAAATTTTGTGCCCTCCCAATATTAATAACTCAAAATGATTTGAATATGTTTCTTAAAATGAAAAGCACAAAAATGGTTTCAAGAAATTCTCAATTATTCATCCATTTTGCTATTCAAGGAGTTCAATCATCACTTGAATATTAACCGCTTGAATATTTTCACTAGTGATAATGTCCTTCAGTGGATATAATAAAGATAGTAAAATAATAGTAATGAATGGCCAGTAAAAATAATTTCAGTTATTAATTCGAATTGTTGAAGCAGACCCTCTCAATCACCCTCCATTTCTATTCAATGCGTCGAACTGCAATATCTCATTAACGGATGTTCTTTTTGAGATTATCAAAACAACTGCAAACACGATTGAGGTTTGTTTCGTGAATGTTATCATGATTCGTATTTTCATTTAGTATGCGATTCAATCTAGAATTGGCTTAATTGGAGTTTATTCACGGCAAATCTTCAAATTTTCATTCCACAAAATTAAGCGTTTAAACTCACTCTAAATTTCAAATACTCCAATGTTTGCAATTTAGTTGAATTCGAAGACGAATCAGAAGAAACAGATCATTCAAAAGGCTTATGCTCTACTTATATCGCTGGCAAATTGTAATTTAAATTTTGGAAGTGCGATTCGATTTGCATGGTTTGTCCTATTTTTTTGAAAATAACTTGCTTGGTTAGCTTATTGAAAAATGAAAAAAACGTAATTTTCAAAATGGCTTTTTGCTCCATAAAAATATTCATTTCATTCCGTTTCCTAAACTGTAATTCAGTGTGAATCTGAATTTATTTTCGCCACTTTTGATAGAGATTCGCTGATAGATCACTTAAAATTTCGTATTCTCTGATAGTAATAAAAAGATTATGAAAAGTTCAAGAGTTGATGATTATCATAACTGAAATGTTCATTTCATTTCAGTAGTTCATATCAAATAGCCGATCTTCTGCTGAGTTGTCCGGATAGTGATGTGATTCGATATACGATTGATTTTATAATGTTCGTGATAAAAGATGAAACCGTTCGTGAGCACTTATCGAAAGACTGCGGTTTGGTCGAATCGCTTCGCAGTCTAACTGCACAAATGAACGAAAATTGTGAGTTGTTCTTGAATGTTATCGTTTATATTTTTGATTGTGTTTACCTAAGCAGAAACGCACGCATTCATTTCTTTATTGATAGTGTTATTGCAGGAAAGTTCAGTGATAACCTAATTCACCTTTTGGAAATTTCATCGTAAAATTTGATTTCGATTGAGTGCATCAAATGAAAATGCTCAAAAACTCATCGATCTTACAAATAATCTAAAGAATATTCTTTTTTCGAATGTTTGCTAGAACTTGGAAATTGCCTTCTGAATTTCACGGAATTTCTTTTCGCAT